CAACAGCAACATAGATGGAATAGCATTAGTTGATACAAGATGCCTGTTTCCGTATTAAAATAAAAGGAGGATGACTGTTGGGCAGGAATAGATCTAGATAAGACAGACATGAACTTGGAGACTTGTCTAAATCCACAGAAGGACGTCAAGGACTAGGAGAGTTCTGTTCATCTTTACCTTATTAAATCTCAGTGAACCAGCTGTGTCATCTTAGGCTCTTGAGAAATTAGCGAATGATTATAACAAATGGCTTCAATACTTATAAAGATACTCTTAACAACTGAATAAAATATAGAATAATTAAAGTCTCAACTCCAATCCAAAACATTGAATATCGATCTATCATTTTTCCTTTTTCTTTTCGACTTAATTTGTCAGACTCTCGTAATCTCATTTTTGTAACTTTTAACATTGAATGAATTTATACTAGTAAATTGAGATGAGAAATGCATGTAAATTTTGTGGGAATATTTCATGTTAAATTTGATGTATAAATCAAAGCTGGATTGCGTGAATATCTGGATTCACCTTATATGTTGCCCACTTGTGTTGTGCTTCGTTATTCTTATGTGTCCTGCTAAAGTGGTAATTTTGTTTTACATCATTTTATGGCTTATGCCTAGAAAATAATCTGCCATGGTTCACTTTTTTTTATTTGTATGCAGGTATTATCAGCTTTGAATTTGCTGCGATTTGTTCTGATAATAGATTCAAGAGGTAATCTACAAAAAACCTGTGCTTAAAATTATATGTACTTAACTGAACTGTAACAATAATTGCATGGATTTGCTATTGCAAAACTAATGCTACATGATCACACCATCTATAAGACTATAATCTGCAAGTTTCTCTGTGGCTCTCGAAGCTTAATGTTTTCATAAATTAAATATTTGATTAAACATAATTTTGGTTATCAACGTGCTGGTGCATGGTTCTAATGTTCATTTATCTAACCAATAGTTGTCTAAAACACTTTCTTCTTTTTCATTCTTCCAAATGTCCTTTAATAAAGAGCTGTAACATTGAAACTCTGTTAATGTGAACCTATATAGTGTACTAATCCCAAGTAATGTGTTGAAAAAATTGCATATGTCCTTTTTAGTTTCCAAGCTTGTAAACCCATAGAATCAAAGATGGCTCGAGACATAAAAAGAAGTGGTTGCATCTTATTTGAACAAAAGATGCATGGTGTTCGACTTCATGAATGGATTAAGGCTCATGTGATTTAGTCCTGGGATTAATGTGAATCGTCAGTTTGATATATTTTTCCCATTTTGTCCAGGATCAAGATCAAGAAAAATGTTTGGGGAAGAGACTATGAGGAAGGTGTACTCAGAGTGGCTGATGCCATTAAGACCAATTGTTGCAGGAATTCAATCAGAAAGTGAAGAGGATGGTAGCGACGTTGCAAATCATATCATGTGCTCGTTAAATCCTGTTCAATTAGTATTGTACCGCTGCATTGAGCTGGCAGAGGAAAAGATGAAAGGTTTCTAACGTTTTCAGTTCACTGGTTTTTGTACAATATACTGCTGTCTCGAGGCAAAACATGAACAAGTTGTGAATATTATCCCAATGATTTGAAGTTGCGTTTTTTTATGTTGTACAGTGATACTGTCGTCCTTCATAATTCATTTTGCTGGATGGTCTCGTTCGCTTTTTGCAAAGCTGCACCGGCCGAGCCGTGCCCGCGCGCCACGCATGGCCGCCACACGGCTCCGGCCGATCCGTGCCCGCACGCCGTCCACGCGCCGCATGGCCGCCGCCGCCGCGCATGGCCGCCGACCGGGCGCGCCATTGACGGGGAGAAGAAAAGGAGAGGGAAAAGAAGGAAAGAGGAAGAAGAAAGAAGGAAAGAAATTAGCGGCTTTGCAAAAGAGCCGCTGGATTTTTTGGAAATCACGCGCATAACTCCCAGCATGGAAACTTTTTGCGCATAGGACCCTAGCATTTCGGAAACTCCCATTTCTAACCATCGACTGCATGGAAACTTAGAAATAGGCCCTTAAACTTTGCAGATTTCGCTTATATTTCATTTTGGAGCATATTATGTCTTAGTGCAAATTTTGAATTTAAATTTATTAAGGCATTATTTACTGTTAATGAATATTTTGAATTTTTCGTTTTCAGTATTTATATGAATATATGCAACTTTTTCACCCTTTTTCTATGTATGTATTTGTACGCATTTTTAATATGAACTCTAGTATTTCTTTATTGAATATTTCACATTTCTTATTCGCATTGCCTATGAATAAAAATATTGGAAAAACCATGAAATATTTGCATTCATATTTGCGACTATGTTACTAGAAGTAACTTATGAATATTTTGTCACTTTTTGCCACAGAATGTTAGGAATCACGAATAAGGAGTTCGCCAAACTGGCCCAGCATGGCCAGAACTACCTGACTTGAGCATCCAATGTCTAGATCGTCCTTGGGGCCAAGAAGCTCCGCCAGACGATTGGGATGGGCACCCCGCAGGACCGTGCGCCTACCCCTGATGAGAATGATCAGGCGCTGCACTTCCTGCGGCACCACCTCTGCACCACGCTCAAGAATGAGTACATGGGATTTAGGAGCCCACTCACTCTTTGGGCCGCACTCAAGAAGTGGTTCAAGAAGTTGAAGTACACCATCCTACCCCAAGCAGAGCAGGACTAGGTTCGTCGACTTCAAAAGTGTCTCCGAGTACAATTCCGCGATGCACCGGATCTGTACCAACCTCTCCCTCTATGGTAAGGTTATCACGGACGCGGAAAAGATCGAAAAGATGCTCTCCACCTTCCACCCTAGCGTCGCTTAGAGCACTTGTAACTACAGGCAAGTGTCATACAAGGAGTATGACGAGATGATCGACATCATACAGGTGCTCGAGTCTCATGATGAGGTTCTTCGCAAGAACTTTGTCTCCCAGACGCCTAGCAAGAGTGTTGGCCTTGAAGTTAATGCTTAATTAGTGTTGACTCGACACACGTGCATATCCCACAACCATAAGGGCTCCCTCCGAAAAAAATGGAAATTTTTAGCAGAGGTACAAGTGTAGCCTAAATTCCTTGACAATAAGAAGGATTATTTCCAGTCATTCAGGGGAAGAGAAATAACCCTTAAATGATACTCCCTCCGTCCCAATATATAGCAACCTAGGACCGGATTTGACATATCCTAGGACTATCAAATCCGGTCCTCGGTTGCTATATATTGGGACGGAGGGAGTAAATGTTAGGAAAAATGGTCAAACAAAGGATGCACATTTTACCAAGCACCAGCGAATGCAAAGTATGAAAAGCACACATGAGAATTAGATAACTGCCTATCACTTTTGTGATTCGGAGAGCATGACCAAGTTGCATTACTCGAATATAATACACTGGAGGAGGGTGAAATACCGAAGAATGCAAAGGTATACCTCATCTTGTCTAGAGGCCTCGAAAAAAAATAGGACAAGAACTCTGGCTCCTTAAATCTCTAAAGTAACTGGAGACGTTTGGTGAAAACGGGACGAAAATGAACTCTCAAGCTCATAGTCACTAAAAGTAACCCCAGAATTTGAGGGGGAGCCAGTTCAGAGCTGGCAAATAGTATGAAACCTCAAAACATGCATACCACATCTTCCCATCAAGGAAGAAACCCAGCAGTCGGAGTGCACACCAACACTGGTAAAATGAAATAGTCATGCCCATATCAAAGAATAGAAGCATAAAAAAATTGCATATCCCCATATATCCATGGATACTCGCATAAGTGTCACATACAAGTATACAAACCAATAAGAATTGGTAATGAGACATGCTATGGACAATATTCTCTTCATATAGCAAATCAGTGGCAGTCAACCCAGAGTTGAAAATCAACTAAAAGATCAACCGGCAACGCTGACCTATAGTTGACAATGAATGGCTAAAGAAATTTTGGATTGGGCACTGCATACAAGCATTAAAAGTCCCAAACTAAGTTGATAATCCGAATATCATCACATAAAGAAAGAAAGCTCATTCTTTCCGAACGAGTTTGAGATAAATAGGTAGAAACCTATGTTGCTTTGGCCCGTAAGCCTACAACACATGAAGAAGCGAACCATAGTATATCAGAATGTGAAAATACATAGGTTCCTTGGATATAGTTCACCATTTTTAGCAAGTAACACGGTTCGAGCTTTGTCCAAACCCCAAAATCATTATCAAAAAGATAATGATATGTGCATCGCACCAACACTAATAGACTATACAAACACTATAAGTTATGGGAAAATCATGCAATATTTAACCATTAGAGCATCACTCGAACTATCTTTTGAAAAGATACGAGCAACGAGTTTTGATGGTTCACACTTAAAAGAGATACGGAATTCAAGGGGAGAATTTTGCCAGTCTATTAACAAAAGCTTGAACTGAAGAGTCAAGTACCCAAAACCAATTAAGAAAATCGATACAAGAATTTGGCTAGGTTGTACTCTTTTTTTCCTTGCATAAGTTTTCATGCAGTTTCTTATTAAGGTTTTTAATGAGGCAATCTATGCGACATATCTGCTTATGCTATATACTATTTCTCCAATTTTTCCCACTGGGTTTTTATGAAGTTTTAACAAGGCATGGACATCACATGGTGAGTGTCCAATGGGAGTGTTAAGAAACTTTGGGCTCGGCCCACGAAGGCCTGGCCCAAATACACTTGGGCCTATCACCGAAACTTTCATATTTAGGATTGCACTATATAAAGAGAGGAGGGGGCTACTCTTTTACAGTTGATCGAAGAATTGGAATAAGAAAAAAAGTCTCACCTCAACTATGTGTCTTCACTTTATATTCTTAGAATTATACAACTCCGTTGGACTACCCCGTAGCAAGAGGTTGTATAATAAATTTAACTGTCACGAGTACACGCCAACATGTTTCGTGAGTACACATGCTAATTATGCTAACGACCGATTTAACCATCTTGATGTCCAAGCTTAAAGACCTAAACTTCGGATCCGTCTCCAGTCTCCGCCGATCTCGACACCACCACGCCCTCGACGCGTCGCCCCTCTCGACCTCCCACTCCTCGATCCAATCCTCGCCGTCCATCCTTCCCTGCGTCCAATCCCCACCCTCCATTCGACCTCCTTCTTAACTTTCAGCGCCGCCCACCGTTCCACATCGAACCTCCGCCATGAGACCACCACCACCCCACCTCCTCCTCCTCCTCCCCCGCCGCCGCCGCCACGCCTCCTCCTCCTCCGCCGCCGCCGCCGCCGCCGGAGAGCTCGTCGGCGCCCTCTCCGCCTTGCCCTCCCCCGACTCGGCGCGACACCTCGACGCCCTCCTCCGTCGCATCGGCGGCGGTGGCCTCGCCGCCGTCCTCTCGTCCCTGCCCTCCCCTCTCCCCGCGGCCTCCGCCCTCCGCCTCCTCCTCCACCTCCTCTCCAGGACCTCCTCCACCTCCTCCCGCTCCGAGGATGACCTCCTCACCCCGCGCGTCTCGGCGCTCCTCCTGCCCTCCCTCATCGCCGATCGCACCGCCATCCGGACGGCGCGCCGCCTCCTCTCACGACTCCTCCACGTCCACCCGCTCCGCACCGCCGCGGAGGCGGTCGCCGACGCCGCCTCCACCCCCTCCTCGGACTTCCTCATCCACACCTTCATCACCTCCCCGGCCCAAGGCTCCCTCTGCAGGGCCGCCGACGCGTTCCGCGTTCTCTCCTCGCGCGGCGCGCCGCCCTCCATCAAGACCTGCAATGCGTTCCTCGAAGCCCTTGTTCGTGCAGGTCAGCTCGATGCCGCCCGCGAGGTGTTCGACGAAATGCGTGAAAGCAGGAACGTCGCTCTGAATGAGTACTCGTATACCGCCATGATCAAGGCGCTCTGCAAGGCTGGAAAGGTGGATGCTGGTTTTGAGATGCTTGCAGAGTTATGGCGGGCTGGGCTTCAGCCAACGGTTGTGACGTACAATGTGCTTATGGATGCACTGTGTAAGAGTGGGAGGGTGGAGGAGGCCTTTCGATTGAAAGGGAGGATGGAACAGGGAGGGATGACACCAAGCGTGGTCACATTCGGTATATTGATCAATGGTCTTGCAAGGGGCGAGCGGTTTGGGGAGGTTGGCATTGTATTGCAGGAGATGGAACAGTTAGGGGTTTCCCCCAATGAGGTTATTTACAATGAGCTTATTGGTTGGCATTGTAGGAAGGGCCATTGCTCACAGGCACTCAGGTTGTTTGATGAAATGGTTTTAAAGAAGATGAAGCCAACAGCCGTGACTTATAACTTGATTGCAAAGGCACTGTGCAAGGAAGGGGAGATGGAGCGGGCTGAGAGGATATTGGAGGATATGTTGTCAATTGGAATGACAGTTCATTGTGGTTTGTTCAATACAGTGGTTGCATGGCTTCTTCAAAGAACCAGAAGATTGGAGTCAGTGGTAAGCATTACAAATGAAATGGTTACACGAGGTATGCGCCCAAATGATCCTCTGATGACAGCTTGTATGAGGGAGCTTTGCAAGGGAGGGAAACATCAAGAAGCAGTTGGGATTTGGTTCAAGACATTGAACAAAGGTTTAGGTGTTAATCTTGCAACTTCCAATGCGCTAATTCATGGTCTTTGTGAAGGTAAGTACATGAAAGAAGCTACAAAGGTTATACAGACCATGTTAAATAAGGGAATTGAATTGGATAGCATCACATATAACATTATGATTCGAGGTTGCTGCAAAGACAGTAAAATGGAGGAAGCTATTAAACTCCATGGCGACATGACCAGAAGAGGGTTTAAGCCTGATCTTTTCACATTTAATACTTTATTGCATGCTTATTGCAATTTGGGTAAAATGGAGGAAACCTTTCATCTGTTGGATCAGATGAAAACTGAGGGCCTTCAGCCTGATATAGTGTCATATGGCACTATAATAGATGGTCATTGTAAAGCAAAGGATATTCGTAAAGCAAAAGAATATTTGACTGAATTGATGGATCGTGGACTTAAACCTAATGTGTTCATTTATAATGCACTTATTGGTGGTTATGGTAGGAATGGTGACATCTCTGGTGCAATTGATGCTGTTGAGACTATGAAGTCTAATGGCATACAACCAACTAATGTGACTTATGGTAGTCTTATGTACTGGATGTGTCATGCTGGTCTAGTTGAAGAGGCCAAGACCATTTTTTCACAAGCCAGGGAAAACAATGTTGACCTGGGAGTAATTGGTTACACAATTATGATTCAAGGTTACTGCAAACTAGGAAAAATGGTTGAAGCTGTTGCATACTTTGAGGAGATGCGTTCCAGGGGTATATCTCCAAATAAGCTTACTTACACTACTCTTATGTATGCTTACTCTAAATCTGGTAACAGTGAAGAAGCTTCCAAGCTTTTCGATGAGATGGTGGGCTCAGGTGTTATTCCTGACAATATTACTTATGGTACACTAATTGCAAGGTGTTCTGAGGTAAATTCATTGGATAAGGATATAGGACATACTGCTGAATTGTCCTCAGGCGCTTTAACAAAAGATGATCGTATGTATAACATATTATCTAATGGAATTAATGCTCCTTGGTGCCAGAAAGAAGCTGCTTCCAGTGTTGAATGATGTGTGGTCAAGGAACCTTAGGGCACACCTTCTTTGTTCTGACAAGAACCGTCCAAGAATGAACAGGGAGTAGGGAGAACATGTGGCCACTGATTCTGCCTTTGATCTTATGAATTTTACATCTCCTAACAGTTCCCTCCAATTCATTTGGTCATGGTCAATCTTTGGGAGCTATCCAGCAACAGCAGAGGTTGTTCTGAACATTTCTGCTCAAGTTTACATGATCATCCACCTACTGTCTTGGGTGGGGTATCCAACAGCAGCAACAGATTGCCCTGAATGTTTATAATTGGTGAGGCATATACTCTTACATGATTAATTAGTAATTTTGTTTTCCTGACGTTATAGCATACTGTATTTCATTTATCATTGCTGCATATATGTTCTCTGCCATGTTAGTTAATAAGTTAAACATACCACCTAATTCATAAGTACTTGTTCTTTGGTGTAGCACTCAGTTGATCCTGAAAATATTGGAACAAAATAATCATTTTGTCACGCTGGACATTCTTTTGTTTTTGTTTTTGAGAAAGGGGGAAAAACAACCCAATATGGACAAGAACTGCACTGTGACCTATCAAAGCTCTTATCTGCGGACTGGATAATGGATACACAGGTTCACTTTGGTCATCAACTAAAGCACCTTGAGAGCCAATGTATGGATGATAATGCAAGATGGTTGTTGAACCATAATACCAGCTGCAAATTTCAAAAGGTAACAGTTTGTAATGTTCAAAGCTATTATTCCGCATGCTGGCTGTTATTTACATTCATATAAATTGATCCTTTGTAGTGTAGTACTGTAGTACTTTGTTGTACTATATGATTCTTGTTAACAGTCCAGTTTAAAGTGTCTAGATTAGCATCATACTTTTGTGGGGCACACTGTCTTTACATTTCTTGTTACCAGTCCAGTCTTTATGAGTATCATTGCTATACCATTTATACTTTTGTTTGGGCGCTATCTTACATTTCCCTTATTTTAATAGTGCAATATGCTATTTTCTTTGAACAGATTGAGGAATTATTATGCTTACTATGTATGGTACTATGTTCTGTTTTATTTAACCATTGGCACATGAGAAATGAACATACACTAGAATCTGTAATTGAAATGATTGGCCTGACTCCATTTTCAGACTTGCAATACCATTTGAGGAATTAAGGTTTTTGACATATCGCAATCTGTCTAAGGAATTAAGGATGTAGACATTCAGTTATATGCAAGTTATATCTTGACCTTTTATTTTATAATTGAATCATCGCATTGGCTTTTTACACTGACAACTCGAAAGACATGAAAATATGGAATGAGGTGCTAGGTCAGACAAAAATTTTGTTGGGGACGCCATGTTCAACAGTTAAACACTCCAACAGTTCTGTTGATTTTAATTCTAGACTCTAGACTCTAGAGTCTAGAGCTCAAGAAATGAAAATCAGATAGGATGTTAAATTGTTGCTGCTGGGTTTGTTTGTTTGATCTCCCTCTCCTATTGTTGTATGGTCAGCTTAATGTCGAGCTTTTCACTTGTCTTCCTCAAGATGAACTTTCAACTTTTTCTAATAACCTTATCAGTAGTTAATCTTTTTTTTTCAGATGTATGAAATGTTAATTTTCTGATCTAACATAGAGCTCAATGAGCAGACTGGCCTTCACTAATCTCAAATGTTTGTTCTGGATTCTTTTCACTATTTTTTTTATTTCTTGTGTATTACGACATGTGGCTTATGCACATGTGTTATGCCATCAGTGTACACAAGGAACTGGACAAATAAGTTTGGCTCGGTAATTTTCATAGAGTATTTTATAATCATCGAAAACTATTAACTTGGGTTTAAAAATACTTCTAGGATTGCCAGCATACTATGGCGGCGCAATGTGTGGTGGGAAACCTCACAATGCTGGTTATTCTGCATCCTGCCACCTGCTGGCATAACAGCCATCAGGAGTTTAGTACCTGGTGACTAGACAGCCTGTCAACATGGCCACATGGGCGTTTGCACCATGACCCCAGGTCATGTGGAATCACCTGTTTTTATTTACATATGTTTAAGAGGACAGGAAGTGAGGAAACTTACAGATTTACTGTTGCTTGGGTTTATTTATGGCATCATATAAATATTTAGGCTATTTCTATGAAAATACAATGTCCTTAAATACTGGTATATAAGTTTAGAACAATCTCTCTCTGATCTTTATTGGTAATTGCGTTCTTTCTTATCTTTTTTTGTTTATGCAGTTCTCTGAATACTGAATTTTGTCAGGTTATTTGCGTCGTATCATCCTCTCAGAGATTTGCCATTTTACAAGCTCTCCACAAAGAACACCATATTCTCCTCAGTAAGATCACAACCTATATCCTCTTAAACATATTGCGAAAATCGTGATATTCTGTGAGCTCCATGTTTTGATGATTGAGATAAACAAAGGCTTAAAATTCATCCCCACGAAAAATTATGGGCCTCTATTTATTGTTCATTACCGTCTCAAGTTGTCACAAGATTGTAGCTTCATTTGTATTTCATTATATTTGAATTCTGACCAGGCTGTTAGATTGCAATTCTCCTAGATTTTCTGAAGATTGAAATTTTGGGGGGAAACATCAACGTTGATTGGGATGGTGTTGAGTGTGATCAATTGCAAGATGGTGGGCATTGTTACCATGGGGTTTTCATGCCATTGGGTTGATGGAGATGTTGATGCCCCCAGCAGGCACAAGGCAGGCCTTGTCTTTCTGATGCAACTGAACCTACTCCACTAATTCGCTGTGGACATTGACATGGTCAGTAAAGCACTACTTTGATGTTATATTCTATTATAATGTCGCTGTGAATATCAAATAAAATTACATTCACATTTTCATGTCGACTATTAAATGCTTTTGGACATAGACAGTTAAAGCTACAAATGTCTCACTGAACACATTCTGGGATGATTTACATTTGCATATCAGAGGGAGCAATGTTTCTTTATGCATTCCCTGTGCTTATAAAAATGGATTGGAAGTCAATATCCCTGAGTGGAGTGGTTTTGTAAGGGAAAAAACCAAACTGACCCACTCTGTAGCATAAATGAGTATGCATGTGTGCAGATCTGATTTCTTCAGGTCATACCTGAAAAACTAAATTAAAGACATCCAGAAAACAAATCTGCATATGAACTGTTGCACTCATGTTTCGTTGCGTATATATGCTGTGCACCACTGAAATTTCTTGTTGGTCACACTCTATTGGTTCTTGACTCTATGAGCCTTACGTGCTATCAAGCAAGGAGATATTTTCAATCATTTTTTAATCAAGTTCTATTACAAATATCTGTAATTAAACGGTGTTTATGGAGTACTTGTTTTCCTACTAACTAGTAGGCTTCGTTTCACTGTATTTTTGTGGCTTTTGCTGCAACAATGTTTGACTGTCATGCAGTATTATCTGCTCTGAACATCCTATGTTTCGTGTTGATAATAGATTCAATAGATGACATACAGAAAGCTGCAAGTTCTCTAAAACGCATCCACCTAGCCTGCCTAGCATCTAGTGCCTTAGGCAATCACTGTTCTCTTCGAATCATAATCTTGTCAGGATCTTGATAGACTTCCTGTGAAACTCATGCTATATTCTTTTTTGATCTCTTTATGTTCTCCCCCATTGTTCTTGATAATCTTGTCAAGATCTTTTCATTTATCTGATTATTCGAGCTAACATCTTCTGATTGCAAATCATGGGGTGTTTAAGTGCGGCAAGTTTTATGAATATTTTGATGATCACTTAAGTTACATGTTATTATTATTGTAGACAACTTGCTGCTGCTGTGCTCCTTGCCTCCTTGTGACTTCTGAGTTTGTCTAATCTTCTTTGACTATGATTGAACATGTACCTTTTAACAGAAAGTGGTCACCTTAAAATCACTAAATTGTGCTCACTATTACATCACACATAATAAAAAGGTTAACTTGAACATATAAAACAATGATTCGAGTGTTGGATATTTTAGTAAGTAAAGTATGATTTGTTTTTTAGCTTAATTGATCCAGGTTTACATTGATAGTATGAAACCAATGATTGGTTATATATCGACATTTGATGGAGTTTTTCTATTTGGATCAGGATTAAGATATGGCATAGCTGATCCTAAAATCAATTAGGCAAGAAGGCTGTCAGAAAATGGGAAAGGATGACATCATGGCAGCCAGGTTGTAAATCAACTAATGTGCACATGCAGTTTCTGTTCAACTAGTATTATACTGACGTGCTGTTTTGATTTGGGGAAAGAAAGATGGAGCAAATAGTTTTCATGTTTTGAGTACTGTGTTGAGATCCTGTAAGCAATATTACATGTTAGATGTCTTCAACAGGCGCTGAAGTTGATTGTGGCATATGGCCATACCTTTTACTACCTGTACAATTCAGGGGTTGTATTTGTACAGTGCTGATTTATAGTCTATATGCAGAAGTATAAATAATGTAGTAGTATGACAAATTTTGGATCTTTATGAATGTGTTGGTTTTGCTACCAAAATTTTGACAATCTAAGTTTGGCCTGATTTAGTTCCCAACTTTTTTTTCAAATTTCCAACTTTTCCATAACATCAAAACTTTTCTACACACATAAACTTTCAACTTTTCCGTCACATTGTTCCAATTTCAATCAAACTTCTAATTTTGGCGTGAACTAAAAACACCCTTATTCCTTCCGTCTTATAAAAAATAAATCAGTATAGGATGTGACATACTCTTTTCGTCCCAAAAACAACCCAATCCTGGGTTTGAATCGTGTCTAGATGATTTAAACCCAGGATTAGGTTTTTCTGGGACGGAGGGAGTACATGTATAGTCTACACTAGGCTGAGCCATACCTCGTACTAGTTTTGTCTTCCTTTTATTAGACGGAGAGAGTATGTGCACGGAGTGTTTTTTTTTTTGGAGGGGGGTGGGTGGGGGAGGTAGGAATGTATACTTTGCTGCCTAATTTTGGTAAGATAGGTGGTGTTTGAATCTCCTGAAGATGAAGATGAAGTTTTTCACGTAAAACGAGGTGGTAATAACGTGTGATTAATTGAATTTTAATTATTACAAACTTGAAAAATGGATTAATATGATAGTTTAGAACAACTTTCATATAAAAAGTTTTCGCACGAAATATACTATTTAGCAGTTTAAAAAACGTGCCATTTAAATCCAAAAGTTTATCCTCAAATTTCAGAGGAAACGAACAGGCCACAATGGACCAAATTGGCACATGGCTCATTTTCGTATCTAATACTTTTTTTTTTTGTCAATGCTCAACTTAAACCAGCATGAGTACGAACCGATGCCCGATATAACACATACAACCTGTTTTGTTGTTTTCACATTAAATTACTATCAGTCGCATGTTACATGAGAGCAAAAATGTTTGAGTCAAATCATTCTCAATTGAATAGGGTGATTATGAAACTAAGAACCTTGAAAGATAGTTAAATAAATCTTGAAAGGAACATTTTTGGTGCCCAATGAAACCTTAGACAAAAATCGCTGAAGGGTGGAACAAACCGAAGCTAACCGAAAGTCGGATCATATTCATAACTGAAAGTAGGCATGCTGATTGGCGTGCGTGCCATTTTATAGCATGTGTGTTATTTAATTATTTTTAAAATTTAGGCTTGTAAATGGATACGTTGTTATATTTGTGGGCTGATGTAGATTATTTAATGTAGATACATGAATAAAGATGACATTATGAAGAATAACCCTGGATATTAAGCTAAATTGAAAAGGATCCCAATAAAATACAACAGAATGCCACGAATTGATCTTAGTATTATGGAGAAGACCGTCGCCACAGTGGTTCCACTCCTTTATACAACGGTACAACCTCGGTCCATGATCGCACGGCAGCACGCAAGATGAACCAGCACGAAAATTGCCAAATTTCTCGTATGCGCTAGTACATATGCACGCACAGCACATGGACCAAAGTTGGACTCCTCTTGTTGAGGCTTTGGCCCAGGCAGAGACTCCATGCACGCACATGACTTCTAGATTGCACCGTGACTGCGTGATGAAAAATTGAGAAGCACAACCATTCGCTATTTTTCCCTTTTTCCTCCACGTGTCGCTAGACTATTTGGCTGCCACTCGACCAATCAGCTACCAGGAGACACTGCTATTTTTTATATCTTTTTGTTCTTACATAATTCGGATTTTATTTGTGAGATCAGGGGAGACACATGGTCTAATAGGCAGCTGGCAAAACTGCCAGCTTGAGATTAGTTGACTAAGAAAGTGTTGGACAAAACCTGTTAGTGATATGTCCTATAGGCAATTATAGAGATGATTGTATCTTATACTGTCACGTCCGGAAATTCACTAGTAATTTCCGAACTAATTTGTGCATTAAATCCTCATTCAGGAATCAGCGGAGGTACACAAACTGACAATTTAATATACAGATTCATCAATATAATAACGTTACATACTTACAAAAGAAAAGAAAACTGCAGCGGAATTACGGTCTAGCGAAGCTCCGGCTCCACTCCCACAGGCAGCTCAACTGGGGTATAAGCCAAACGTCTTCTCCTTCGCAACTTGTCTTCAACTGAGGTTTGATTGATTATTGCAAGGTGAGCATATGACATACTCAGCAAGCCACACAACAAATATGCAAGTGCACAGGATACCAAAGGATGACATAATATAGGGCTCATTTGCGAAAGCAGCATTTAGCAAACATTTAAGAATTGCAAAACAGTAGAGTAATTAATCATCAATATTAATCAACACTGAACAGCACATCCATGCTGATCAGGCCCAACCATCCTGAACAACCATACCCGGCTGCACAGATCTATCTCCAAACCAGGAATGTACCATTCCAAACCAGGAGCTAAATTAATTACCATCAATTATCACATTATTATTAATGAGTAGTGTGGGACTAATCACGAAAGACATTGTTCGATCCGCCCATAACCGCGGGCACGGCTATTCGAATAGTTTTACTCTGCTAGAGGTGTACCACTGTACCCACAAGACACAACCCCACAACATGTCACCATGCGCCTCAATACCACCACGGTACCTCGGAAAGGAGCTGTGACAGTACCCCTCGCACAACACAATCCACCACAGCGCACCGTTCCTGGATCATAATCACCCCCTTATAAACAAGGCATGGACTCCCCAGCGACCCCCGTGGGCTTATCTCTGCCACTTCTCAGTCTCGTGCTCCGCAATGAACCATGCTATACAAAAAGTAAAGCCGTTGCCCATGCTGGCTTGTGGTTGGCACGGTTAATGTTTCACAACCGAAACTCGTGAACCGGTCCTTAATTGTTATGAGCACGACCATCAAAACCATGTGCTCACAACCCACCATTATCAAGTTTTAGTTGGCACATTAATTAATTCACAATCACGATTGACCATCGTGAGCTACAATTAAATATCCATCATTAAGTAATAGTGAAACATTATTTATCCCAATAGTGTGCTAATGTTTCTAAGCATGGCTAAGCAATTATGTCTAACATCTAGCTGAACCAATATATAAAGCTCAACTAGTCAAATTATCACCCAAGGTATAAAGAATAGAGTAAGGAATGCAAAGTGGTCATAACAAAGGAATAGGTTCACACCACCCGGTGACATTCCAAAATAAATGCACAGTTGAAATAAATAGAGAATTTTAATATAGGATCAACATGCTCAAAGGAATTGTGTTTGGGATCTGTGTGACTTGCCTTGCAATAATCGGTCTTCAATTAGTCTTCTTGAACACTTCCGACGCACTCATGAACCTTCGCAACGACGGAAACGACAAGCTATCACGCAAAACAAGGAAAAAGACTAATAAAAACCAAATAAACAATACATATAAAGTAAACAAACATGTAGATCATGATTTTAGATGAATTTAGAGACTTGAACGACCTCATTCCGATTTCATATGAATTAATTACAAATTTTTACAAGATTAAATTCCAATTAAACCTATTAAAGGAAAGACTATTCCAAATTAATTAAACAATTTACAAATGATTTATAACTGAGATAAAAGATTAAAACAACCTCCGGAAAAGATTAGATTATATTCGGTAGATGACATATATTAAAAAGAAATAATATGCCACTGAAAAGAGAGAACGGATTTATATCAATTTTGGACGGCTAAGATTAATCTTGACCGAGAGTTGACCAAGATCGGATGGCTTAGATTGATCTGGCAAGCGAGCCTCATGAGATATCGACTCAACGAGTCAATTCTACGTGACACGGGATCACCCAAATGATCAACCGAAACCGGCGAATGGAATCGGCGGCTCTGAAAGGCTCTAAACTAAAGGACGACTCCACACGGATGAATGAACGAAACACGGGGACACCTCGTTCGAACGAACGAGCGAACGACTCCACAACGGCTGCGACTAAACCGGTGGGCTAGACAGGGTTCACGGTAAAGCCCCGGTACGGCAAACGATAGGCCGATAGGAACCTAGGAATGCACCTACGGCTAGACAACTTGGCTACTGAGCAACGGCTAAAGCGGCGGCTAGGTTAAAGCGGCACAAAGCTGCGACACGGCGGCACTAGGGCGACTTGGTTTGGCTAGGCGGCTAGCACAACGGTGGCGACAAGCAACAATGGCACAACTGGTAGCGACGGTGCACAAGGTAGCCGGCAAATGACGCGGCAGCGGCTGCGCTAGGGTTAGAGCAACAGCAGCGGCGACATGACCGAGGGATTGAAACCTAACCCGAGGGGTCACGGATAGAAGACTCACCAAACCAAAGCGGTCGGAGAGAGATAGATGACGACGGTGAACCGGCGGCAACACATGGAGACCACGGCAACGCTAGATAGACAACGGATTAGATTGAATTAAGACCCTAGGGAAAAACTCACAGGTGAACGGCATGGGAGCGGCGATTGCCAGCGAACCACGGCACAATAACGCAAACGGAGGGCACCGGGAGCGAGAGGGGATCAAAGTGACCCTTACCACCACTTACGCGACGACGAACGGCAACGAAAGATGGCCGGCGACGAGCTTCGAAGGGCGGCGAGGTACTGTCCACGGAGGCGACGACTTTCCGGCGATATGCGGCGACAATGGAGGGGTGGCCGGGCTTCACTTCGCAGCTGCGAATCCAATGGAGGCAGCGGTGAAGCTTGGCGATGACGGGAGGAGCAGCAGGGCTTCGCCGGAGATCAAAACGCGACGGCGAGCTTCGGGTTGACGGCGACAATGGAGCTCCGGTGGATTTCGGCTTCGGGGAGATGGCTGCCGGGCTTCTTCTCACTGCTGCGATGCCGACAGTGGATACGGCGAGGTCTGGCGACCACGGAGTCGACGGCAAAGCTTCGCCGGAGATCAAAACATGGCAACGGTTCGGCCTTCACGGTGACGGCGACTTCCGGCGGGGTTCGGCGCAAAAGAACAGGTGGCCGGGGTAGAGCTCTTCACTGCGAAGCCGAGGGAGGTGGCGGCGCTGACCGGAAACGGCCGGGGCGACGGCGAATGGCGGCTGGAGCGGCGGCCGGAGGTGG